AGAAGACATGGCCTTTCACCCATGATTCGTCTCAAAAAGGTTAAAGGCTCATAATTGATCAAAATTTTTGCTGTAATTGATGAGTTTCTCTAATTTCTAACATCTAAACATATGTATGATAAGAAACCAGAATCACCAAGAACCTTATAGATTGTTAGAGAATTTTCTTAATACTAAAATCATACATTCATTAGTTTGTGTTTTTTGTGAGTTGAAGTGTTATTCAACAGCACTCTATGTGACTGAACTAAGAATCCAGCCAGACAGAAAAGTTCACAGAAAATTCTTGCTCAAGTTTTGTAACCCACTGTTAGAGTTGGTCAGTTAGTGGAATTTGATAATGAATTAATTTTCGGGCTCATTAATTGATGATTTATAACTAAAAAATCAAAAATAGTATTAATTAGAAACATTAATTTGAACTAATTAACTATTTTTTTGAATCATGACACTAACTGATTAAGCTGAACAACTTTGAATTAATCAAAAACTCTAATTTCAATTAGTGATTAATTTCATGACATTAATTGTGTAATTGTTCAGTTAAGTAACAAATGAATATTTTCTGACTACTGTTGTAATGTTGCGAACATTCATTATAACTGTTAAAATATGCTCATTTTCAACTACATTCTGATCTCCACTTAATAAATAGAAATTATTTTATCTGTACAATAGGACCCAAAGAAAAAGGCTAAATCAGACAGTGATGATAATGATGATGAGTCTGAGGTAAAATGCAGCAGTGCCCCTGCACCCCGATCTCGCTCGGCCCGCTCCTGTGCACCGATTAAGTATAACTTTGGTGATGAATCTAGTGATGAAGGTTTTTGAACAGTAGTATAACCAGCTCAACCCTGTTTCTGACTATCATGAATGAAGGGCAGGGAGACTAATTTCAGACTGAAAGTGGTAAATTGTATCAGAAAATAGTGTTAAAACTCTCCAGCTGATACTGTTGTCAAAATAGAAAGAAATTGTTTTCTGCCCTGACATGTTTTATCAAATGTTACTTTTACCAGAATGGATGACAGTCCATTGTGGAAATCTCCAGTAGGTTTCTTTGTGTGTTCCATATTCATCATTTGATAATTGAAGTTCTTTCAGATACTGTGGGTGGTCTTAATGCTTGTCTTTGTTTTTGAATTTGTTGTACTAAACTACAGTATGTCAGCAATAGAATATGGGTGTCTTCAAGATCTCCTCTTTTATTCTTTTTTTTTTTTCATGCTTTTTTTTAATAATGGATAAATTATATTATTCATCATTCCACACCAAACTACAGTTTTAACCAAATTAACTGTAAAACAAATATTGTAGGGCTTTGGCTTGAAATGTGTTTGTGTAAAATAGAGAAAAAATAAAAAATCCCCACTTTGATCATACTTGGTACAGATCATTATTGTAATAATTTGTATCCCCCCCACCCACACACTATAGTTTAGACAAGGCTTTTCCTCTTGTACGTGGTCCGTCCCCACATTTCTATAAAATAATGTATTGTACCAAGTTTGTGACATTTTTTAACCCTTGTTGGCTTTTCTAGGACTTTACCATAGTACTATCCCCTTTGTAAACAGTGAAAATTGTGAGTGAAATGTGACTGCAATGTATTTATTCCAGTCAGTATGTAAGTGTGGTCTGGTATTTATAGTTTGGTTCATTTTCTATTCATTGTAGTAGAACTTAGTTCAAAAATTAACATTACAGAAAGACCTAATAGAAAATCATCATTGTTAAAATAAGTTCACATTTAAGATTTGTATTACATCACATTGAAATCTGCATACCATATTATGGTATTTTTGTGGAGGTTGTTGTCAGAGTTTTCATACTGTTACAGATAAATATGTGAAAACATCTTTGTTTCTAAATGTACTTGTACTCACCATATACTTGACAAACAAAGTATTTTAAAATAGTAGAGTAATGGCTTAGTTTAATGTGCATACTTTAAAGATAACAGTGTGTAACTATACTGGTTAGTTACTGAAACAGCTTCTTATGAACTGCTGAGTAAGTAGGAAATTTTCAGTTGCAATATGATAAAAATGTTAGCTTTCATAAAATATTATTTCATATTGGTATAAAATGCTTAATGCTGATGAAGCATTGAGACTTTTTAGGCTTAAGAGTATAACACACTTGACTTTTGAGAAGACTTGAATACTTTGTTTTTAATATATCATTTTCACTACCCAATTTCAGTGAAACTGATTCCAAAAACCTTTGAATCTCTATTGTAGAGATTAAACGAAAAAATTATTGTAACTTTTATATCACTTATATCAAACAGCTTTCACTGAAAATTAAAAGAAATGAGAAGTGATGAGGGAAGCTATAGAAATTATTTATTTTTAAAAAATAGTTCCTTATGGATAGTCAGTAATCTTTTATTACTGTCTTAATTGTTCTTATTTTAAACCTTGTCGGTATCCTTCTTTTTGAACAATAAAGATAACTGTACAGGAATAGAGCTTAGACATGTACAATACAATTAAAAGTGTCTTTTGCTGACCTTTTATAAACTAAGTTACATGAAAGTGGATATAGCTAGGCTGGAGTAAAGAACATGCATGAGAAAGAAAAGTCTTGATTTCATTTAGTCATACATAAAAACAAATACATGACTGCTTTTCATACTTGAATGGTACTTTTCAAAAGATTATATTAACAAATTTCCTGTAGTGGTAAAATGTTGTATCTCTTCTCCACTGAGTAGTATTATAAAGTACAAGAGAAGGATAGAATCAGGTATATATATGAACGAATGTTTACCAGACCTAAAGGTCCATTCAATGACAGCTGAGACTAATGGGTAATATTTATGTTTTCAGTTTTGAAAGACAATGATGCTTCTTGTTTTTTTGGTCTCAGGTAGTAAGTGTTCTTAAGTAAATGAAGCTAAATCATGATTGATGTATGTGAAAATGTGTCCATAGGACTTAGAAACCCTTGTGCTATTTAAAACAGGCTATTATCATAATGTAATGGGCTAACACTGGAATCTTGTAACTTCTCAATATGAATGTTCTTCTGTCTTCCAGACTATCCTTTAAAAAGAAATGCCAAATAAGGAAGAAGGTAAATTTTGTTTTTCAGTTGCTATAGCAAGAGGAAACATTTATCCAAGTTCTATTCTGATGATGTAAGCATTAGACCTTCAGTAAACGAAGATTGCTCTGGAGTGTCACCAATCAGTGTATTATTCTTTGAATAAGTAAAATGAAACAATGCTATAGAAAATTGTTCTAAAAATTTATAAAAATACTGAACTTCTGAATTAAAATATTTTGAGTGATGAAGCTGTTGAAGCATAGCTCTCTCTCTCTCTGGGGACAAGTACAAAGTCTTATTACATCAGAAGCTACTCAGATGTAAAGAGTATACAGAAAATTAGCTTTCTTAATATGAGTATTTTTCAGATATTGTGCAAACGATTTCAGTGCTCATGTAACCCTTTGTGCCAAGTGAACAAGAAAGTTTCTGTTGTTTGTATAACTTATAACCTTTATTCCCTGTCAGATTTTTTTTCAGTTTTAGAATATATCTGAGATTCACTTGCCCAAACTCTGTTTTCACTATGACTTAGTGATTTTTATTGTGGCATATAATTATCAAGTGGATTTTCTGTTGTTTTTGCCACATCAGATTATAGAATTATAAATAATAAATATAGTAAAGTATAAACTGTGTAGAGAATAGCATGATGAATTATTTTTTGTCATTGTTTGCCACGTAAGTCGATAGAATTATAAACAATAAATATAGTAAAGTATAAACTGTGTAGAGCGTAGCATGATGAATTATTTTTGTCATTGTTTGCCACATAAGTCGATAGAATTATAAACAATAAATATAGTAAAGTATAAACTGTGTAGAGCGTAGCATGATGAATTATTTTTGTCATTGTTTGCCACATAAGTCGATAGAATTATAAAGAATAATGTTTAAACCATGAAACAACATAGCATGAATTTTTTTGTCATCATTTGACTCATGAAAGTATAAAATTTTGAGAAGTAAACTTTAAACTCTGCACATATGTTTGTATTTCTACTTACCGAAATGTTGGGGAAAAAAGTACAGTTGTCTCTTAAATACAAATTTAAATATACTTGCAAAAAATAAGCTGCATTACACTAGTATAATTTCTGTGACTAAATTGGTAGTTATTATTTAAAAGTAGAATATTTGATAATGTGTGAAGTTTATCACAGAATCCATTATATATTTACAGTTTTTGATCTATATACATATGTAAGATATGTAGCTATAGTACCATCATTTATACACCTAACAGGTTTGGCTGTAATTTTGACTCATTAACAGCTGTGTTTTAATTACTATTCATATTTTTAATCATGCTGGACTTTATTATTGGTGTACTTTTTTTTTAAAAGGTTAACAATGTTTCCTTTTAATCTATCATAGAATTTCCATATTGTGTATTTATGGTTTGTTAGTTATTTACATCAGCTGTGGAAACTGTTAATATACAGACCTCAAAATATCCATACTTTTCAACAAGCTTTATCTCTACCTGGTTCTTAAACATTTGATAAAAGAACATCTCATCCAAACTGAAACATAACTTGTTTTTCGTTTTAAGATTTAGAGTAGTGGCTCTTAATTCATCATTCTTTCTTGAGTTTGGTTTACAGAAATGTTTGAAATGTGCAACTATTACAGTTAATGTTATCAAAAAGAAAGGTGTGTGATAAACCAGCATAACATAGTTTCAAAGTTCATCTTTCAATGTATGGCCCTGATATTTTGTAGTTGCTGTAATATTGCTGATATTGAGACTTGCTAGTAGCTGTAGTAGTATGTCCACGTGTATAATATTATTACATTTTTACTGGTTGTCACTCATTTTAATTGATGTGAGTTATTTTTCCTTTATATACACTGTTACACTACCATTATGTATGTGGTGGGTATTGTGAAACTGATGTACAACAACATTGGTTTGGTAGTATGGTATAATAAAATCTTACACTTTTGTATATGCTGAACGGGTTTACATGAACCAATATTTATTTTATTTTCACCCTGTTGTTTACAAAACCAGTTTTTATTACAAGGGATGATTTTTTGCTCTGCTTTTACTTGCCAAGAACAGTGAACCACATAGGTAACAGCAATAAATGTGGTTTTTGTGATGTTCATTTTGAGTGTTATGATTCCTCGTCTCTTTTTTTAAATGCACTGTTGTTTTTCAAAGATAAATATCTGCATAGTTTTGTTCTAAACATAAATAAATGTCAGGATACATTGTGTAGTAATAATCATCATCAGGCTGTATTGTTGAATAGAAACAAGAAAATATCAGGTAAAAATAAAACCCATACAGAAATCCTTGTTTTAAACAGAAGTAGAGTTAGATGACATCATGCAGTAAAACCTTGTTTCAAACAGAAGTAGAGTTAGATGACATCATGCAGTAAAACCTTGTTTCAAACAGAAGTAGAGTTAGATGACATCATGCAGTAAAACCTTGTTTCAAACAGAAGTAGAGTTAGATGACATCATGCAGCAAAACCTTGTTTCAAACAGAAGTAGAATTAGATGACATCATGTTGTAAAATCTTTTTTTAAACAGAAGTAGAGTTAGATAACATCATGCAGTAAAACCTTGTTTCAAACAGAAGTAGAGTTAGATGACATCATGTTGTAAAACCTTGTTTTAAACAGAAGTAGAGTTAGATGACATCATGTTGTAAAACCTTGTTTTAAACAGAAGTAGAGTTAGAAAACATCATGCAGTAAAAACTTGTTTTAAACCAAAATAAGTTAGTGTTTGAACAGAAACAAGAAATTATGAGATAAAAATAAAACCTACATGAGAATCATTGTTTTAAACAGTAGTAAAATTAGATAACATCATGCAGTAAAAGTTTGTTTTAAACCAAAATAAGTTAATGTTTGAACAGAAACAAGAAAATATCAGATAACATGTAATAAAAACTTGCATTAGGCTCTGTTCTTAACAGAAATAAGAAATAGTTGTATTACTTAATAGAAATAGGAAAAGGTCAAATTATGTAGAGATGTGGTATTTCCTGACAAGTATCAGACATGCAGATTTAACCAAGAAACAAGGGAAGTGATTACTTGAATGAAGTTTATATTGTGTATGAAATAAATTGGTCACATTTTAATAACAGTTAAATCTTTCGACACAACGTAAAAAACTGTGTGTGTACCTACGTAGACATGTGAACGATTACCAATACTGGATCAGTGAACAGCTCACCAGCTGTTAGTCTCTCAAGATGAATCTCTGACGAACTAGTCTCAATGAAAACGAATTATAAATGATCAAAGAAAGTCCATTCTGGATCCAGAATGTTAGCTTGTTTTATTCATTTATTGGACAATATCATCTCATGACCTCTGTTCCCTGACAGTATTGATTGGCTCTCAGCTTCAGTCAGTGTCGCAATCTACCAACAAAGGATATTTCAGCGTTAACTTGTTCAACCTGGATTTTACATAGAAAAAAAGAAATATCCCTGTTGTCAGAATGATGTCATCTACAAAACAAAAAAGCTATACAGCTATAACGATATAATGTTAACATCTCTGGACCACATGTTGCTGCTATGACAATAGAACACTAAATAATCAATAATATGGAGTAATTCTATATTACTAGAGAAAGTAGGAAACCCATGATATGCCTGAATATCACACTTCTCTTTCTCTCAGACCAACAGTTAAAGTTAACTTCCAATACGACACCTTACCTTTTCTCACATAATAGTATTTTTCATTCAGTACTGTTCTCTATATGCGCAAGTTTCACTTGCCACTAGCCTTGATACTCTCACCTACCCTCACGTGTTTACGCGTGATACAGCTTGTTGTAGTATGCAAATGAGCATGTGACAACCCACTATCAATAGGAGTACGACACACCCTCCTAATGCATCTCACTCCCTTTATACTTTAGAGCCCAATCTTCACTTCTCAATTTGAAATAGTAGAACACAGATGCATTTCACAATTTGTTAAACAACTATATTTGTTTAATGTTAAAAAAAATATTAATAAAACAACGATTTTTGTACACAATTCTAAAAATGAGACTGTTCCTAGTCCCAAAATTACAATAAAATATTAAATTATTTACTGTAAAGGATAAAAGAAAAAACTCGATGAGACTGGAAATCATCCTCAGGAATGCAATGTTTTGCAAGAATCGAATATTTATAGTCTTACTAAATCACCATAATACAATTTACATGTTAATACTCTAGCCATTCTACACCATTTGGCGTGTCCAATTCAGTGTTGGATGTGCTCTTTTTGCACATGGTTTAGCGACGTGTATCTTCACAAACCCCCCACCCACCCAGTGGGACAGCGGTATGTCTGCGAGCTTACAATGCTAGAATCCGGGTTTCGATACCCGTGGTGGGCAGAGCACATAGCCCATTGTGTAGCTTTCTGCTTAATTATAAACAAACAAACTTCGCAAAGGGTGAAGATTAAACTTGGTAGACATGTGGTGAAGTTTCCCATTGCACAATATAACTTATCAAATGAAATTAACCCTTTACAATCAATTAAACACTAAGAGAATGGAAAAACTCATAATAAATGCATTAATAAAACCATTCATAAACAAAATCAGTCAGTCCAAAGAGTCACTTGTACAAAAGAAAACTATTATCAAAACAACTATCCCATATATATATATATATACCAAGAAAAAAAACAAAAAATATAATGTTACAAAACATATGTAACATATCTTACAAAACATAGTTACATGACCTACACTGGGAAGACATTGTTGTAACTGTCTAATATTATTGGACCTCAAGCGCGTATTCTGGGATCTGCTTTGACAACTTCTTGTGAAGAGGCTGGGCTATTTTGATTTTTGTATTCAGCCGAGCTATTCACTGTGATTTTCAACTGTGTGGACAATCTATTAAGCAATGAAAAGAGTCATCAGGGATAATCATCAACAAGGAATAGAAAGAAAATTGCTGACTAGTTCAAAAACAAGGTAGCCAGATAAATACAGAATTTAATCATTCATACAAAATTCCATTGGTCAAAAGTTCAGCTGAGTTTGTAGGCTAAAGTGGGTTGTAACAATTACATTCATAAAGTAGGTTAATGGTCAAACAACATTTCTACAGGCTAACGTGTGCTTACATCCATCTTTGCCCATAGAACATGTGTCCAAAGAGCTGAGATCTTCTTGATCCTCAAGTTTCCACTTGACTAGCTACCTAGGCCATGCTGCCTTTTGCCATCTCCACCAATCAATAGAAACATTGATGCCAAACTCTCCAACCAATATACTCTCTGGTTGTCATACAGAAAGCAGGAAGAACCCAGATTTAAAAAGAAGGAATGGGGGGGGGGGTCAAATATGTGGTTGTTACTTTCCACTTCTTCTAGTAATAATACAACCTGCATTTTCATGCCATAATACTGTATCTTATAATGAAACAACATTTAAAAAATGATCAATTCTTAATGTCAAAATCAAATCTTTTATTCCAAGAATGTACTTGTGTCTCTCAGGGGTATTCAACTCTCGTAGCATATAAACCTGGTATACTTCCCAGGTAAGTAGGTGAAAAATCTAGTGAGTACAGAGTGGTATGCTCCTTAGAGTTCTCACTACTCAACTGAATTATGGGAGTCATTTTCTCAAAACATCAGATGATGTTTCTCATCAGAAAATTTACTCGGTGGCTAGGAAAACAAGTGTTCATAACACTTATGATTAATAGTTACCTGATTATCCTAGCTTTATTCCATGGATCGGAGATTGTCTACCATCAGTATTTCCAGTCCTTAGTTGATTATCTGTGGTCTAGACCTTTGTGTTCATGAATTCCCATCTGTTACGAAAAGCTGCACCTTCCTTACCATGACTGGTTCTGGTCCCCAAATAGATCCATGTTAAAAGAAAGATATCCACATTTTCGAAATTCTAAATCTCAAGTCTGAACACATCCTTATGATTTGATGTCATGAATATAGTGTGTTGATTAGGCTATTACATACCCTTCCTAAAAGTGACGAATTTTTGGTAGCATCATACTATCTATGCAATTCCAAACAGTATTAAAATGTAGTTTTTATACATTCCGTTCCACCATGACTTTATATCGGCTGATATTGCCACGTGATTTGCTGCTTTGAATATAAAAATTTACACATTTGCTTAAACAATAAATCATTATGGATATTCCTAACGCATAGTCATGTGAACAAATTGTTGAATGTTAAACTTTGTGTAATGCTTGTAATCGGGCGAAAAGTCGAGAGATTACAGGTAATAATACTTAAAGTTTCAAGTTAACATTTATATTGGTCATACTAGAACTTCTGAGTAATTATTGTAAGAAGTATTTATAGGCACATTGTTAGTCAAATTAATATGGTACTCGTGGTAGATCAATAGTAGGAGTGTATAGTTCAGAGGGCTTTTGTTAACAGTTAAAGTGTAAATAAAGTTTTTCGTAATTACAAGTAATTTAGAATAGCTTTTTGTGTTATGTAACAGCCACAGACCATGAGAACTTAACTGGAGGGATCGAATTGAATTGAGCACTAAGTGACAATCCCAGTGGTTTGTGCCACCAGGTGCTGACCCTTCAAGAGGTAGAAGAGAGTTTTTCGTTGTTTTTTTACTGATGTTACCAGTGACCTTCTGGCTGTGCACTATCTTATTGGTTCCGCTTATGTTGTTTTCCTAGTTACATCATATGGTATTTAATTTTGAAACAGACTCACTCCCCTTGAATGTCAATGAAGATCTTTTATGGTTACCACTTTTACCTTATTAGTGTTGAGGAAGTTGATATCATGCAAGTAGAATTGTGCTGTACTTGATAAAAGGGTTCTCATGCAAGATTGTCAGCTTTACCCTGATTAACTTGGCACCTACGTCAATGTCAGTTTTTATGTATGGGCCGGATTCTTTACAGTAAGTGTCTGTGACTTGTTGACAATACATTTCAACAATAAACAAATAGCACACAGCCCACTTGTTTTAAAATTAATTATTAAAACAAGTCAAACGTTTATACAAAGTTTCGTTACACTGTTGGTTATCACAGTTGTATACAAAGCTTTACATAATTCTCTTTTTTGTCAAAGTCTACATAGACTGGTTCAGTTACTTTAGAACACA